CAAATCTCCTGCCTACTGAAAAACGTGGGAACTGCCTACTGAAAAAGTTGGTGTGCACCCGAGCTACGTCCTTATGAGGTGTGCATGGCTCAAATATTTTCAGCTGGATCCAGGCCCACCTGTTAATCAGTGAGGTCAGCCATTGCATATATATTCAAGTGTGTCTTTTCCAGTGCTACATGAGTTGTTGCCCAAGGTACAAAGTCAAGCAATATATTCTGCATCCACTGGTGGTTCTGTTCACTGAAGCTCCCGGGTCACTGCCCATAAGGTATATTAATGCCTGCCTCTGTACAGGCAGTCCCCCGGTTACGTACAAGATAGGGACCGTAGGTTTGTTCTTAAGTTGAATTTGTATGTAAGTCGGAAATGGTACATATTGTAGGGGAAACTCTAGCCAAACATTTCTCCAGAGCTCAGTTTTATTCTCCCACACCTCACTTCCCTCAGTCCTTTATTCTCAAGGTGAGGTGTCTGCTGAGAAAAGCCGCTCCGCGTCTCCCTAGTCTGCTGGGGGGGGGGCGCTAGCTTCGCGTCTCCCTGGTCGGCTGGGGGGAAGCAGCTAGTGCGGGGTTGCCTCACCCCGTTTGTAAGTAGGGATCCGATGTAAGTCGGATCCGTGTAACCCGGGGAATGACTGAAATATCCACTCCATGCATCTGACAAAGTGGGCTTTTGCCCATCAAAGCTTATGCCCAAATAAATCTATTAGTCCCTGAGGAGCCACAGGACTCATCATTGTTTTTGCGAATACAAACTAACATGGCTATCTCCCTGACATTTGTCTCCAGACTATGTGTTTGGGGGATGAGAATTCCTCCCTTTGTGAGCCATCTATGGGAAAGTGCTACATCTGGGACAATTGGCATTATTGAGCAATAAAGTACAGCTTTATGAATTCTGAGAGAGACTAATGTACCAGGAACTTCTTAACCGTTATTTTCTCAACAACGAGTGGTCCTGTGGCACCTTAGAGGCTAACCAAAATACACAGAATCATGAACTTTCTTGGGCAAACCCCATTTCAGATGAATTGGAGTGGAAATAATAGAAACCAAGATCGATAGATATAAAATAACAGCAAAAGCAGTACTTGTTGATTGTCGGACCCGTGTTAATGAAACTAATTAAGTGTGCTGGATGTGTCCCATATATGGTTTTTGATGTGGAAGTGCAGGTGTTAAAGGCAGAAGAAACTGGCTTTTTAATGTGTTTTGCCCACAATAGCTCATGAGTCTAAATATTTTGTTTAGTCTCTGAGAAGCTATAGGAGTACTTGTTATTTTCAAAGTTACAGACTAACCAACTACCCCACTGAGATTCATTATATTCACAGGATTTCCTGTTGCATTGGCAGTACTTTGATGTTACTAGCTGATTATAATATGCACACTTATTTTTGGAGAGAAGAAAGGTAAGACAGATTTTCCTGCCACTAAAATGTCTTCCTATTTGTCTTGTACAGGTACCAGTGCCAAAAGAGCTAGAGTAAAACACCAGATTCGCCTGAAGGAAACAACCGGAAATAAAGACTATTCAAGTTTTACCTACAGTTGTTTCAAAGGATGCTTTTTTGAGAAGTAGGTGGTAGATATGGACCTGGGGGAACAATGCTTGTAATATGCAGTCAGTTTATATAACAGTGAAAAAGGGCAGAATTGAGCAAGTCAATGCTAACAGGATTTCCATCAGTTATCAAGTAACAGTGATGCCCTGTTATAATCTCTGTCTGCCACTTGGATTCTAGTCTCCCATTTGTTCATACCTATTTGCCCAGCTGCAGTAATAACATAACAGGTTTTACTGATTAGGTCCATGAACACTATTGCTTACACGGTACTTTTTGCTGTTAAATTCTCCTGCAACACAACAGTACCTTGTGACTTGTTTTCTTTACACACACCCAACTTCTTTTTCATGCAGCTGTATGCTACTGCTTTGTCACAAAGAAAACACATGATTTCTATCTACCAACTTAATTTTCAGTCCAGAATTATTTATTTTTACACTGAGTAAACATTTAAAAAAAACAAAAAAAAAAAGCAAAAATGCTCTCTCTAAAAGACAGCGCAGTGAGCATTTCTCCCATAACAAACTGCAGGAGTTTGAAAACAAAATGGCTGCCATCTCAGCAAACAGGCAGACTTCTTAGAAACTTAAAGGCACAGTACACAGGACAAAAAAAAAGTCATAACCATTTCAAATGTCATATGCCGTTTCTGGCAAGTATTCCCTCTGGTTAGCATTTAAAATATGAAGCCATGAGCTGTTTTGGGAGCTGCAAGATCATCATTCTTCTGGCAGATTCTCTGTCCTTGCGATAACCCTGAGCCACTTCTCCACCACAATGTGCATAGGCCACACATTGCAGTCACTTTCTGAGAATAGAACTGGACTGTTTCAAATGTCCTTCAATACCACTGATAAACTGGCCAGAGGAGTTGCTACTGAGTACTGTTGGGCCCTTGCCCTCTTTGCTCAGCTCAGGGCGCCTAAGCTGCCAGCCAGGTTGAGGAAGGAACCGAATGTCACACTTGCATGGCGACTGCAGTGCTGAGTTCTAGCTAGAGGTTAACTGCACTCATCCTTCTGCACAACTTCGTGGTTTCTAAATATTTCTGATGGGGGGGGGTGTTTTAAATGGTCAAAACTACGAGCCCCCATTCTGTACCATCCACACACATCCCAAGCACTCACAGAACGTGCCCAGGAGCGGGTAATTTGTGGTGCTGGGACTCACTCTCCCAAAGCCTGTAAAATCCTCCTCAGTGTGTCTCTATTGAATCTCTTTTCTGGAAACTTTGCCTTTTCTACCAGGCATGCTAGTGGATTCCCCTTCTTCAGTCTGTTCGCCATCCTCTCTGCTCTTTCCGTTTTGTTGGTTACTCTTTCTGCTTGAGTCACCATCTGCCAACTCTTCTCTTGCTCCCCACAAAACTTCACCCCATCCAAACCATTGGTGGCTTCCTCTGCCTCTAGTAGCTTAGGGCAGGTCTGCACTCTGGGGACAGGTTGATCTAAGCTACCCAATTTATGTGAGTAGTGTAACTCACATCAAGGTAGCCTGGCTCTACTTACCGCAGGGTCTACACCATGCTGGATCGACAGAAGAAACTCTCCTGCTAACTCCCCTTACTCATCTCGTTCTGATGGCGTACAAGCGGCAGTTGTTATGTCTATGCTAATCGACCTTCCCCACTGCCGGATCGATGGCAGCCCCATTGATCCAGCACATTGTGAGGATATGGCCTAAGACACAGATGTGGGTCTTACTCTTCTTCCCTTTTTGGGTCTGCCTACTGCTGCTACTCAGTTCTTCTTATCTGCATGTTCTTGGCCATCTGATAACCTGAAGTCTCCTTTCCACAGCTTCTCATTCTCCTCTTTTTGATCCACCAATGCTCTACATAATCTTCTGCCAGCCAGCTTGCATCTCTCTTACACAATCCATGTTCCTTTCCCAAACATCTTTCCTCCCACTCAGTGTCATATCCTACTGCCCCATATAAGGAACAGTTGCCCTCTTCATGCCAACCAACCAGGGCCGTCCTTAGGCATACGCAGACTACACAGCTGCATGGGGCACCACTGTGCCCCAAATTAAGTAGTGTTCTATGCTGTGTATGCCTAGCACCTGCAGAGGACAATGCCTACTCAAGTAGCCTCATCCCACAGCCTACTGAAGCCCAACCTCCCGGCCTTTCGCCCTCTACTTCACCTCTCAGCCCCAGCGATCCCAACCTCCCAGTTCCAGTGGGCTGCACCACTCTCCCTTCCACCTGTTCCCCCACCAACCTTCAAGGCCTGTTTCTGCTCTCACAGCCTTCCCCTGCAGAGTTGCTGCCCCTTCCATGGCAGGGAACTTTGGGCTGCAGGTGTTCGGGCTGTGTAGGACACCAAAATTCATAAACACGGCCCTGCAATTCCTGCTCTTTCAAACACACCCTTCCAACTTGGTTCACCTCCTCTCCCTCTCCTTCAAGGGCACATCTTGCCTATGTTTTTCTTTTGAAAGGAAATTATGCAAATTTGCATATCTTCTTCTAATCACTTTTTCTAGAGAGTTTTTTTTCAAAAAAGCAAGTATTCTAGACACGGTTCTTTCAGGGAAAAAAAACAAACCCTTTTTCAAAAGAACCCTTCCCGAAAAAAAAAAAAAAAAAAAAAAAAAGAGGTTTACAGCAGTCTGTTGAAAAACGGGTTTTTCGGGGGCCGGGAACCACACACACCACACCTCTTTTGAAAATAATTGGAAGATATGCAAATTTGCTCTATCTTCCGAAAGAGAAATGTTGTCTAGATGCACCCCAACTGAGCTGCTGTCTGAGTCCCTTTAAGGCTCTCCAAGGCAGACAGGAAACACCACTGACTGTAAGGGACTATATGAATGTACAGCCCTCTATGCGACTTTTTTTTTAACTCTGATTCAAATACTGCTTGAGCAAATGTTTAGAGGAAAGGAGCTTAACTTTCTCTCTCATGGACAGCCGTTGAAAAGACTCGTCTCACATGGAAAGGGCCAGAGCTGTAGTCTTGCTCTTCAAACTGAACTAGCAGAAAAAAGAGGCACAGTTTGTGCTCCACCTAAGTTGCACTTGCTGCAAGAATCAGGGATGGGCTAGAGTGGCTTTGAGCCACCTTAGGCATACAGGCCCCTCTGGAGGGAAGTGGGGGCCCTGGCCATAAATCCTAGTGGTTAGTGCCTACCACAGCCAGCCAGAGAGGGTGAGGGAGGACAGAGCTGCTGTAGTGGTCCTAGGACCCAAGCAGTGCCCTACCTGAAGGGAATGCTCCCAGTGTCAGTTGAGCCATAAAAATCTGCCTTATCAGGCTACCAACAGGCCTGGCAAAAGGGGCAACAGCAGCAGTGGCTGGAGCCCTGTATGGCCTGCTCTGGGCAGCACTGAAGGACTGGTGGAAGGAGGCTAGCCTCCAGCCCTGCCCCTTCCAGGCAGTGGTGGATATAGGGCAGGGCGAGCGGGGTGGCTGCCCCAGACCCCGTGCTTCAATAGGCCCCACGCACGCGCTACTACTTGTCGACCATGGCCATGGCCCATGCACGAAATTGTGTCGCCTGGGCCCCGGCAAACTCTCATCCACCCTTGCTTCCAGGAGCGCAGGGCTGAGCTCTCTCTCCCTCCCTCCCCCACTCTTTGCCCCGGGAGTCGGCCATTCTTTAGGACCCCCCTGTGGATAGTACATCAGGCCCATAGTATTCATGCAAAATCATCTACGATGGGCAGTGAGAAATGGGGGCAGCAAATGAGCCATGGGAGCAGCTCTGCCCTCAAAACCTGGCAGGATAGTTAAGCATGTGAAAGAAAATGGCAACCCTACCCTTTCTGTGAAGGGGAGGGAGCGGGGAGAACATGCAACTTCCCATTGTTTCCTTGTGCGAGCGCGCAGGTGGGACTGTGGTAAGTAACCCCTGTGGAGGCAGGAATTGGTCCCACGCGCTGAAAGATGTATAAGGGCACTATCTGCAGAAAACATTAGAACTTGCTCTTCTCAGTGGCATCAACAGAACCCTGACCTGTGATGGCAAGAGAGTTCAGAGTGGGTGTGGCCAAGTGAAAGGTAGGTGGAGCCTAAGAAACGGCTATACAAAAATGGCGCTTTCTGAAAAATAAGAAAGGGAAACTGCCAAAACAAGTTTGCTGCTATTCCCATCTCCTACCCATTCAGAGAGTATAGAGAAGCGAATAGCACGAGGCAGACTCCCATCACCCCCCAGTAAAACCCTGCTCCACTGGAGGACTGGTTTGTCTCAAAGCAGAGACTCACCCACCTTTATCCACATTGCACTGAACCTCAGGGATAGAAGTGGCACTGAAAAGTCATCAAGTCCAGTCCCCTGCATTCAAGGCAGGGCCAAACACCATCAGATCATCCCTGACAGATGTTTGTCTAACCTGCTCTTAATCTCCCGCTAGAAATTCCATCATCTCCCTAGACAATATATTGCAGTGTTTAACCATCCTGGGAGTTGGGACATTCTTCCCCTAGTGTCCAACCTAAACTTTCTTTCCTGCAATTTAAGCTTATTGCCTCTTGTCCTATCAGCAGCTGTTAAGGAGAATAATTTTTCTCCCTCCTCCTTGTAGGTACTTAAAAGTTATCATGTCCCTTCTCACTCTTCTCTAGAAGAAACAAACCGAGTTCTTTCAATCTTCCCTCATAGGTTACATTTTTCTAAACCTATAAATCATTTTTCTAGCTCTTCTCTGGACTTTCCTCCAATTTGTGCACATCTTTCTTGAAGATCATCTATTACCATCTTGCATTCTCTTTTTAAAAGGAAAGATGTCCCATAGTTCATTGTGTTGTGCTCTTGTTATATGTAAAGTCAGGACTCTAGTTCAAACAGAACCACGCAGCCAGAAATTCACAACACATGCTGCATCGTGTTATTGTTCAGTAGTGTGATCTTGTTTAAAGTGTCTGTCTTGCATTTGATTTAATAAAAAAAAATCCATGCCATCAGTTTGATCAATTGTTAAAGTTTATTCTTCACAACCTAATTTCTTAAAATTCTACAATATAACCCTATTGTCATGAAGTAATAGGCTAGTATCTTCTATAAGTGTAGCAATAAGTACTCATCAAAATCTAAATTTACTACAGGTACAAGAAAGGAGCAGGTCATTGCTGCTAACCCTGGAATATATACATAGCAAGTTACTTCCAGTAAATACTGATAACTCATGAATAGTTGCATGGAATGAGGGGTTCAGACTCCTAAACAACTCATTTAGGAGTGGTATCAGATGTGCACACATCTAAATACATATGAGTTTTGAAGAGGTTTTTGGGATATCTGCTATACCTGCCCAGTAAGTCAAGTCAGTTACAGATCAATACTTCATAAACAAGGGAGGAGAGATGCAAGAGTGATGGTTACACACTATCTTAATCTGCATACATTTTAGGTAGCACAGACTGCAGTCAAGCTGGAGTTTACTGAAGAGGATACTTGTAATTACTTTGAAGAGCTATTGTTACATGAATGTGGCATTGGTTCTAGGAATATGAAAGTTATTTATCAGTCCGAAATCTAGTGTTTCCCTTGAACAGAGCCAGGAGTGAATAAAATTAGCAAGATGTAGGCTTTAGCAATTGCATTAAAAATAATAATAATAATAATAATAAAAAACCACCCCACACAAAACTTTGGAAGAGTGTCAGATCATAATGGGAACACTGAAATAAGTCCTAAAACTCTTTCAAGGGGCTTTAAAAAAAAAAAAAAAAAAAAAAAAGATCATAATGGGAACACTGAAATAAGTCCTAAAACTCTTTCAAGGGGCTTTAAAAAAAAAAAAAAAAAAAAAACACACACACACACACACACACACACAGTAAGAAGAACTCTTACCCAAAATCATGGTTCTATTGAAAGCAATGGCAAAAAACTTCCATGGATTTCAGTAGAGACAAGATTTCACTGATACACATGTGCTTCTTACTGAATTCAGTCAAATTTGCACAGGTGTATTGTGCCCAGGGCTCTAATTCGCAGACGTTGCTCATTTAGACTTTGATTGTCTGCCATAAACAATAATACATTTTGTAAACAGACTAGGGAATGTGAGAGGCAAGGGAGAAGTTTACTGATGTGCTCTAGTCAATTTACTCTCTCCATTTGCTACTTCTGATAAGATGGCTTAAACATTACCCATTTGAAAAAGGTTGTAGTAGGAGGATACCATCTAGAAGTTTTGAGGGGAGTGCAGGGGAAGGAAAAGGAAAGTTAAAAAAAAAAAAAATTAATTTGCAGAGCTTTCAGCCAATCCTGACTCTGCCAGATTTGTTATATGACAGTTGTAGCCAACCAGTCCTGCACTCAACTTCACCCCATCACTCTAAATAAAGTGCATGATTAACACTTACACATTACTGGCTACCAAGAACAGGTTCAGAGACTGTAATTCATGTTTGTTCACTCCAGAGAACAAATGATCTATACCATTAGTGCATGTGTGCGTGCACGCATAAGTAACACTGACACTTATTCTCTCCTCCCTAGAGGAGCCTTGATTAGCTTTGTGTACCTGTATCTTGCCAATCTGTACAGTATGTGCATCTCAGACAAACGGAAAACAAGCTTTGACAAGAGTAAACAGCAACTAAATTCCTGCAACAGAGAATACCACCAGATTACGTGCACCTTATTCCTTCACTTTAGCAATGTAGTCAGCCAGTTTGTTGATGCTCTCTTCCTGCTGTTCAAGTGCATCCAGCACTATGCCCATAGGGGTCTTCTTCAATCCTATTCCTTCCATTTTATTCTCCAGTTTGTTCTTTATGTTCCGAAGCCTCAGAGAAGCATGGATAAACGTCACTAAGAACAGAAATACAGGTTTGTGAACACATAGCCTCCCCCCCTTTAATACCTGGCTCTTTACTGAAGCAAAAACACAGGACTATGTAGCACTTTGAAGACTAACAAGATGGTTTATTAGATGATGAGCTTTCATGGGCCAGACCCACTTCCTCAGATCAAATAGTGGATCAAATATTTGATCTGAGGAAATGGGTCTGGCCCACGAAAGCTCATCATCTAATAAACCATCTTGTTAGTCTTCAAAGTGCTACATAGTCCTGTATTTTGCTTCAGCTACACCAGACTAACACGGCTACATTTCTATGGCTCTTTACTGAATCTCAAAGCCCTTGGAAGGAAGCCAGTGGTCCTTTGTAAAATGAGCAGACATCCAAAGATAGGAAGCTGGAAGTCTAACACGTATGTACTGCTACGGTCTACCTAAGAAATTGTACATGTCCTACTGCCAATATAGTGTATTGCTCTTAATGTAAGACGATACATTTCTTCAAGTTTCCCTTGCTAGCAATCTTGGAAGTCAATAGTGTAAGATTAGTCTTGGGACAAATTTAAAACCTCAAAATTTGAATATATTAAGTGAAGCCAAGAATTAGTTCAGGGTGAATAACTTTAGCTTTTAGTTCTAATTATTAGGAAAAAGGCGAGTGGGGGAGAAAATAAGCTATACTTACACAGTAGAGGGAATGTGATCCCAAATATGAACACCATGACGCCTCCAAAATAGGATATCAAGAAGTAACTAGACAGCAGGATGGCTACCACAAACGCAGTTGGGTACTGCTTCTTGAACTTGCGAAGGATGTCTTTGTTATGCGATGCCCACACAAAGCCCATGAACACCAGCACTACTACTGCACCACCAAGGATCATGTTCAGTGGGCTCAGAAATCTGGGGAAAAAGTGAAAAACTGTTTATAAAAACCAAAAGAGATTGTTCAGTTATGCATTCTGGTGCAGCATCTCACTGTTCCACAAGTAGGACGACGGGGACAGTTAACAAGGCTTCCATTTCAGTGCTTCACAACCTCTATCAGCCAGCTTCTGACTCCAACATGTAAGACGGTGTAAGCGATGTGCTGAATTAGTATTGTTTTCAGAGTGCGTATTTAGACACATTACTTTCATCCTGCCCTCTTTTTTGGGGAGGTTAGTGCTCAGGAAAGCAAGCAACTCACATTGGGCTAGAGCATCTTGAGAGAAACCTCACCATCACCTTCCCATTTTACTCCTGAGCCTTTGCTGAGTAGCAGCCAACTGTCATGCTAGATTGTGTGATGGCCCAGTACTTGCCTTTTCCATTTGTGGCTGCAAACGGGATTTAACCTAGTCTCCAGGAGTGAAAATGCTAGTCATGACCCACTGTAGTGCCTTGATCTTCAGGCCATGTTGTTTCCAATTTATGCTCCCCTATTCTATTATGCAGGCTGCATCTGACTTCAACTTGCATTATAAATCTTCAGCTGTAGTAAATGCAAGAGATGCAGAGACAGGGTGTCAAAAGTCAGAATGTTCTGTAATGCGTAGAGGTTACTTGCATCAAAGCGTCCACAGGGGAATGTGCACCTCAGGGTCAGAAAAAAGTAGGGCTTAGGACAGACCCTGCTGAAAAGTTCTAGGAACAGCCATGTTCCACAAGAGCGACAGAACTGAGGTTCAGTGTACTGTTGTTTCCAGAGATAGCAGTGAGTGCCTTATGGAATTAAGGACATTACTAAATTGAGTTCAATACCTTTGGGGCTCCATTGTATTAAAAATGCAATTGTTTGTATGCTATTACGAGTCTTATGCAACTTTCGTATGCCGAAGCTCTTCCCAGCCACCCCTCTGGAGAAGTCTGCAGAGAGATGTTCCAGCTCGATTCTCCAGGACCAAACCCGAAGGATTTGTAGATCAATAGCTTGGTTTTAAACTGGCTCAGGACCTTTTATTTGATCCAGCAAAACAGACATGACCCCCTGGTTGACCAAGGGCTCCAATTCTAAGGGAATGATTGGATTAATTTTGGCCTACTGAGACCCCATAAGACTGAGAGCTACTTTGGCGGTGAAGCTGTTAAGAACTTATGACTGCAAGGGTGTGTCTAGACTACATGCCTCCTTCGACGGAGGCATGTAGATTAGCCAGATCGGATACATCCCCAGAGTGCAGACTGTGGTATGAGACTCCTTCATTGAGTACTACACTTCATCTGTCTTTGTGGTGAACAGTAGGTATCCATCAAAGGGGAGATCCTCCACCTTAGATTGTAATTCTTTTGGGACTCCTAATGATTGTAGCCAAGGGTATGTCTACACTACAGAAGCTTTGTCAACAAAGAGTGTCTAGACTACATCCAGTTCTGTCGACAAAGCAAGCTGCTCTGTCGACCAAAGGCGTTATTCCTCGTAGAATGAGGTTTACCGCCGTCGACAAAACTGCCAAGTTCTGTTGACGTTATGTCAACAGAACTTGGTGGTAGTGTAGACGAGGGTACAGTTTTGTCGACAAAGGTGCACTTTTGTCGACAAAACCCTGTAGTCTAGACACACCCCAAGAGACCCTCTGGCATGAGACTCCTGTCTGATCCCCAGTCGCCATGTTGGAGACATTTTGGGGCAGAGCCATCTCTGATAAACGTATTAGCATATGTGTAAGTTCTTGTATTGTTTAATGTGTTTTCCCCATAGTCTTACACCCCCAGGAATAAACAGGCTTGCACTAGGGATGTGAATTTGTAAATATTTACATGGCTACTCGATAAGCCTGGGCTCACTGGTTAACACGTACAGTTACTTGCAGCACCCTCTCCGCCTGCACTGCTGCCTCGGATACAGAGGCAGCAGTAGGGACGAGGGGGGCAAGTGGGAGCCACCTCCCCCTGCACTTATCTGCTGAAACTTCAAAGGTTACACAAACTCATTTTAACATCCCTAGCTTGCAGAGGAAGTGATGTGTGGTAACATATCCAGAGCAATCACACCACAATAGTCGGAGGAGAAAAGCTTACCTACTTTGCCTAGACAGACTGTCTTTTGCTGGGAACAGCACAATGAAGGCAGAGAACTGTTTAGCCTGGTCAAGATGGATACAAACATGGGTCTCCCCCCAAGAAAGGTAATGGCCTGAAAGCAAGAAGCCTGAAAGTGAGTATCCTTACGAGGCTACAGAGGGAAAAATGACTGTGCCCTGAACTATGACAACCAGAAACGAAAACCCCAGCATGGGAATAAGGTGGGAACTCTGGAAGCCTGGTGTAAGCATCTAATCGGGGGTGGCAAGATACGGTTTGAGGCCTTTCAATCCAGCCTGCCCCACTAGATCCACAGCCAGGGAGCAGCCCCAGGGTTCAGAGCAGCTGGCTGCTCCATCTGCCTCTCTCTGCCTTCGGGGGGGGGAGGGGGGGGAGGGAGAAAGGGAAGCATCGTGCACTGCAAACTCTCTCCTTCATCCAAACACGCTCTCAGACCCCACACCTTATCCTGCACCACAATTCCCTACCATGAACTCCCTTCTCAACCTCCATCCCAGACCTCCCCCATGCTCTCCATAGAAAAGTGGGGCACTTGACCACTTACCAAAATTTGAGTGGCCCCTCAGTCAAAAGTTACTCACCCCTGCTTCAAATGGTTGTAGCTCATTGCATCTGCCCCGCAATCATACCGTGCTTAACCTGCTAATTTCTGTGTATGAAGTGTAATCTCTTAGGCCTCTGAGCCACCATACTGGCTCAGACCAATGGGCCATTGAACCCACTCTTTTTACTGTTGCCATTACCAGACGCGTCAGAGGAAAGCAGCAGCACAAGACAATCATTTAATGACCCACTCCGTCACCCTTCAAAGCTTCTGCCAGTTGGAGGTTATGGAGAATCTGGTTCTGCGTCCCTGACCAATCTCGGCTAATAGCCACTGATGGCTCTATCCTCCATGAACTTCTTGGGTTCTTGTTTGAGCCAATTGTACTTTTGGCCTTCAAAACCTTCCTAGGAATGAGTTCCACAGATGGATTGTGCGTTGCGAGAAGCACTTTGTGGCAACTGCCTGGTTTCAAACAGAACTCTTCATAAGAGCCTCCAACGTCCTTCCTTGTGACCTAGTTGAAGAAAATTGTTGATGCCCGTGACCCCACACTCGTTGACTCGAGTGTGGGTTCTGGGGTGGGGCTGAGAAGGAGGCGCTTTAGGAGTGGCAGGGGCGGGGCAACAGGGGCTTACCTCAAGTGGCTTCCAGTCAGTGGTGCAGCGGGAGGGGTACACTAAGGCGACTTCCTCTCCCGGCACGGCAGACGATGTGGGGCCCTCGGAGCAGCCAGCAGCAGGTTCCCTGCCCATGGGAGTGCTGAGCTAGTGCTCAGGGCAGGGACAGTGCATGGAGCCCAGTGCCCTCTCCCCCCCTCACCGCCACATCTAGGAGCCAAACATGCTGGCAGCCCTTTCTGGGGCACAGTGTAGTTTGCAGTGCCAGGACAAGCAGGTAGCCTGCCTTAGCGCCAGCGTTCCCTCCAAACCAGTGGTCACCAACCAGTAGAGCTGGATCTACTGGTAGATCTTGGAGCTTCTAACCGGGGATCCTGACTGGTTTGACCAAGAGGCTATCAAGTGCCGGCAGCTCAGCTGCATCCTTCCCACGCCCCCATTGCTGTGCACCTCATGCCCTTTGACTTGGAGCAGTCTCCTCAGGTGCCTCCTGCGTGCTGGGCAGGAGAGGGAGAGCAGAGGAGCGGATGTCAAGGCGCCTCCTCTCTGTATCCTATCTCCACAGAGCAGAGAGGGGACAACAGGGCTTGGGAGGCAGTTTGCTGGCTGCTTTTGGGAATGGTGCAGGAGTGAGCCTGCCTTAGCCCCTCTGCACCATCATCCAGCAATGCCCAAGCTGGAGCCCACATCCTGAAATCCTACCCTCATCATGAACCCCTCCTGCACCCCCAACTGCCTGCCCAAAGCTCAGCTCAGAGCCCCTCTCACACTCCAGAGCCCTTCATCCAAGGCCAGAGCCTGCACCCCAACCCTCTACCCCAGACTGTTGAAAGTGAGGGAGGATGGAGTGAGCAGGGACAGGGCCTCGGAGAAAGGGCACAGAGACCCAGAGCCTGCTTAGAGGGAACCCTACTTAGCACCCTCATCATCCTGCAGAGACCCAGTGCCTGACATTCCATGACCCAGTGCTGGGTCGCGACCTGTAGTTTGAAAACCCCTGATCTAGATGATCCTGGTTTGCCAGCCAAATGGGGTTCATCCTTACAATAGCAGCTCTAGCATTTCAGGCCTAGTTCATCTCAGATATAACTAGCTGCAGTGCTAGAGTTAGCAGACCTGCCTACACTTAAGTTTGTCTCCTTCCTTTGGGCATATGGTAGCATTTATAGTGGGTTCTCAACAGCCAACCACCACCAAGAGCCATTTCATAATACTATCTAGTTACCCAGGCAGTATTAGTATCCAATACTCTGACAAAGGGTTCTGAAGGAAAGGAAAAACTAATGAGTTGTTACAAACAAAATGGGTCTCCAGTTTCCTCTGTAGGTCAGCTGTTCCAACAAGGATGGGGCAACTGGAATGAAAATAAATCCAAGGGAGCGGCCCACCTGCTCCTGTTACTCATCTCTGAGCTCCAGCATGGCACACAGGAACTGATAGGGCAGGCCTGTTTGTAGCATTTGAGTCACTTGCAGTCAGCCAGCAACTATATTTAGGTTAAAATTGTCTCTGCGGCTTGAAGACTTGAAAGTGACCACAAACTCTGGAGAGAAGCTATTTTAAACTTGTGCTCTACTGCCGCAGGAATTGTGATCAGATTGGACTAGTAATTATAGTATTTGTTTCAGAACCAAAGTGCCTGTATTTTTTAAAGTCTAAATACACTTCCTTTCTACCTACATAACAAGAACTAACCTTATCAGCAGGGCTCGCTG